AGTGACTGGGAAGTCTTGAGTCTCTTGACTTTCAGGTTTCTCTATCAGCCTCAAGGCTGTTTGCACCACGTCAGTGCCAACTGTTGCTGGCATCCGAAACGATGCTGACAGATGGCAACTGTGGTCATTTCTACCTGGTTACGAGGGCTTTGATTTAGCATTTGTATACAGAAACATGCACTCTGAAGGCATTTTATAGGAGATGTCTCTGCTCTGCTTTGGTTATTTGTGGAAGCTAAATACAGAGCCAAAATGGACATATGTGAAATGGTCAAAAATGTCTGCTGGAAGCAAGATTTAAGAAAAAATACAAAAATGATTAACACATGTCCTGTTCAAAGAACCTTTCTCTTTTGCTACCCAAGGCCTTTTTTTTTTTTTTTTTAAATAGGCTTTAACACTTCTGCTAGTAATTATTCTTATTGATTATGTTTCCCTTTCTACGGAAATTTTTTTAAATTTGAGATTCCTAACTCAAATGAACAAGTACAGTGGAGCAAGAGTAAAACTTCGGAAGAGATATCAAAAACAGTTGTTCAATAATAGTCAGTGGTAGGACACCACATCTGACATTGTGAACAAGCTGCACATCCACATGTTAACAGCACAGAATTAATAACTGTTACACTTGTAGAGTGCCTAAAAATGGAAATATTTACTAATCCAATTACARGGTAGTGTCATGACTAGGGATGGTCACCAGTCAGCATTCCATTACTTTCATTGCAGAAAAAGCTGCTTTCATTTGTTGTCTGAAATGTGCTGGGTGTAGATGTGTCAGTGAMTAGTGAATATATAATAGGCACTTATCTCCATTTTTTACCTTTGTTATTATAATTTTCACCATTATGGGTTCCAAATATCACAGAATATTTTTTTTCAGCTTTATTTGCTGATACATTGCCACAATTTCAGGCAGAAGAGTTCTGCTGCAATTCCTTACACAGTTAGAAATTAGACTAGAACATACCATTTGAATGTTCAGATTAATCTTCCATGTAGGCAGGAGCCTTGGTTTTTTTCAGGGTATCTCCCACAGCATGTGTGCTGTGAGCTACAAAACAAATACATCTTGCTCCTCTGTGTGCAGTTTTAGTCCACTTCATAGCCTTCTGTGACGTGCTTTGGCCTATGGCTGCTAGRTAGATCATCCTATCCTTCTCAAAGCATTAATTTACTAACAGCATAATTAAAAAAAATCCAACACACCTAACCAACACAATTTGAAAAAGGTTACCTTTATGTTTGTTGCTCTGCTATGAAATAAGTGTGCAAATATAATTAGGAAATATTAGGAAGTGTAAGCATTTTTTTTTCCTTGGAGTTGCAGGAATATATGTAAATACACAGGTGAAGAGAATCATCTAGTTGATAAAAAATCCTAGAATAGCTTACAATTTAGACAAAAAACAAACCTCAAAAGTGATTATCACAATAACCACAAAATCCAAGCACTGCTGAATTTGCATTAGAAATATTTGTGAGGCAGCTTTTTCAGTTGTCAGTCTTACGAAGCAAAGTGATAACAGGCAACAGCTGCTGGGAGCTTCTATGTTGAAGTCATGCAGAAATGTGGCAAAAAGACTGGTACAGAATCTAGACAGATAACAAATGGGATTTACTTGGGCTTTTTCACTCTTTATTAGAATAAATATTCATTGCTTTCTTTTATCGATTTCTGTTTAAAATAGTCTCTGTCACTGCTATCAAACRTAGATGTGATGCACAAGTTAAATGTGTCTTTGGATAAAAATTAGCTGTCTTCTCTGCCCTTATCCTCCAGTAATGACAAAAACATTATTTTATCCCCAAGGGGTAAATTGCCCAAACAGATTTTTTTTGTGTATCATTTCAGATCATATTTATCATCAGAGCYGAGGTGAATTAAAACTTATCAATACATGTACTTTTAAAAAGAACTAAGGTTTCTTATAGAAAAATACATATTAATTTGCTTGGCTTCACAGACTAAAGCATAGCATTCTCAGTCATAAAATATCAAGATATTTACCAAGTATATATTTTACTAGAAAAACTTTTTTTCTCCTGGTTTTCAAAAATAACCCACAAATGCTAGTAAAAGCAAAATTTGCCAAGCAGTCTGCAGCCCTTCTGAATACCTGTAACGCTTCTGTAGAAACTTAGGAAAATATGCCCATCCCAGGCACACTCCCAAGATACCATGAAATGTATCTTAATATGCTTRAAGCAGTTATCTCCTAGAGATACATCAAATGTGATACTCTTCAAGTCAATAAATTTGCATATGAAATATTTGAATTTTTTCTTGTATAGCAGAGATATTTTAAGTGTTTTTAAAATTTAGATCCATTCATTCTCAACTCCTAAAAGAGATAATTGTTTAAAATAATTGTACTTCTTAAAGTAATTCCTATCCTCACAAACTTCCTCAATGTTACAGATTCATCAGAAAACATATGAGAATGTTTTGMAAGAGCAATAAATAACTTAATGCTATACCTTTAGTAGATAAATTCAATGTGTCAGAAATATGTATCTAAAATTGCATGTTACAAGAAGTTCATTTTCGATGACAGAACAAGCATGTTCCAAATTAACTTATCGTAACTATTTTTATTATGAGAAGAGTTGAAATATTGCAGTTTGAAAATTAATAATGTTTAAACTTTAATTTGTCATTCTTAACATTTTCAATTCCCTATTGCTAGCCTGCATGAAATTATACAAGTGATTATTCTGTTGGAGGCACGCTTCGGAAAGAACACCTCCCCACACATTATCTCTGAGTACTGACTACAGGCATAAATCATGTATCTGAGCAACGCTACAGTACAAACACAGGGAAATTCAACAGCGTTCAGATGGTCTTACTGCCCAGATGTAGGGAACTATGTCACAAAAGATGTAACCTATAAGATTAAATGCAGTGATTCCTCGACTGCACATTATTTCTCAGGTTGAATTAAATACTTTYATTTCTATCTTGTAAAGAGTAAAATGTTCATTTATGATATCTTCTGTTAATTTTAGCAGTCTAGATTGCCTCAGTTAAAACGTACTATATAACTTGCAGACTTGGGGATAATACCCACTCTTTTTTTGTTTTGTTTTGTTTTTCTAATTAGACCTCCAGGCAACGCTTGTTTTTAACTATAATTATTTTTTTCTTTAGTGTCTGCGTTTATATTTAGCGTGAAAGYCAACAAAGCCAACTGTACAGATGGTATTTTCATAAAAGCCCATTGAGAAGGGCTAGGAGAATCATTCCAAAAAAGTTCCTATGAGAAATAGCAAAATAAAAGGTTGCATCTGGAACTGTGAATTTCTTCCAGTGCACCAACGTGCCTTACAAACAACTCAGTAACATAGTGCTTCACAGGGTCCTACAGGTTTACTTTGCAACTTAAATGGGCAGCATCTTTCCAGGCTGATCCGTTCAGCTGAGGATGGAAAGTAGCCATCAGCACAATTCATCCACATGGAGAATTTCCTAGCTCCTCACATAACCTTCTTGTTGGTCAAATACGTGTAGCACTTTTTCTCTGAACACATGGTACTGGTCAMACCATAGTCATCCACAGCTTTCAGAATGGTTGGTGTCCTTTAGAAAATAGATTTACATGAAGTAATTTTCAGTCCTAAAATACTCACGTTCCTGGCATTGCCACTTTTCATAGTATTCATTGGCAGTTACTATATATGTTTAGATTTTCTAGCCAAGGTTCCTCATCCCAATATGAATTGCTCACAAACATCCAAGCTTAAAGTATAAATTTGTTCCAGAATATGATTTTCTAGGAATGAAAAAATAGAATTTCCTGCTCAGTGACTTCTGATGATTAACATATCAAACAGGTTTCTTTAACAAGTAAAGATTGTCTTCTTATTGCCAGCCTCAGAACCTAAATCTGGAGAGTGAAGCATTTTCCCCCTTACCATGCAGTTTAGCCTCAAAAAAATGTTAGGATTAACACACTTAGTTTTCATCAGCTACATCTACGAATGCCCAGATGCAAAATGAACAAGGATTTTGGGGTGGCTAAGACTGCCAAATTCTACTGATGATATTCAAATATACAGTGGGCTTCTATTTTTAAGGTGAAGCTTCCTTATTTTCCTCAGATATGCTTATCCGAGAGTAAAAAGCTTAGGAAATAAAGTAAGAAAATAATGGAGATAGAGAGATRAAGAGAGATAAAGATGGATAGATAGGTCGAGATAGAAATCTGCATTTTGTATACAGAAGTTGAATCCRTACTAAGTAAAGATGAGTTTACATGATACGCAAACCTTCTTCAGAAGCACTGACCGGGTTAAGGATCACAGTAAACGCATGCAAATAAGGTAGTACTTTTAGCCTGTTCCCTTTTCAAACCACATCTGAGCATGTTCATCACCCCATTTTACACCTTTGCTTCATTTCCATGGATGGAACAACTGAAAAAACTGATGCACATTAGCTTGGCAAATATCATTCATTTCTTTGTGAGTTGTCAGTCTAGCTGCTCCRCATGCAAATACAAAGCATCAGACACATCATCTGCACTCAGAGTACAGTGAAAAATCAAGWTTGACATAAAACGGTTTTGAAAATAGGAAAAAAAACATGGTTTTGCAATGAACAGGACCCTAATATGAGTACATACTTTCTGGCACTAAAAAAAAAAATCATGAAAGATTAGATATTGAAACTGGAAAACTAGAAAAGTGTTTGGCACTGCAGTTTTTGTAGTGTTCCACACTGCAGAGCATCAACTCTATGATAAACTTATCACTGAAAACAAATATAGCTAGATTTGACCTCATCTACTTACAATGAGAATCCCATCTAAATTAGTAAAAGGTAGTCTTCCAAGAGAAGAGAACATTTCTTTATCAGTTAGTGTTCAAGGTTTATTATCTGCTCCTGTAATATCCACGTACAATGGAAAGAGCCTGCAATCTTACCATAGCTAACTGCTTTTCTTCTGTAGGCTTATTCCATTAGATTTAAGGCTTGTCAGAAATGACTCTCTTAATCTACTGATTCTATTTTCACCCTGAAGAATTATAGAGCGGGAACAGAAAAGAAATGGAATATGCCACCCAGCAAGCAAAGAAATATCTGGGTCAAAATTTTCAATGGTAGTTAGACTTAGAAACATATTTGGATATGGAGCTTAGACAACTAAGTCTAAGAATGTGGACCTATTAAGTCTTTGGAAAAGTCCCTAAGCTTCTTTTTGCCAAAGTTTTCAGCAGCACAGTATTTCAATGCCTGAAGTTCCACAGCTCTTCAGCCACTGTGGAAGGACGAGACCAGTTACTGAAGRCCAGTCTGAGGAAGAGTCCCTGCAAGGCCCAGTCCGTAAGTGTGCGCTCACAGGCAATCTGCCGAAGAGAGAGTGAGATCTCTCTAAAAATAACTACCAAAAACATTTTCTTGAAATAAAGACAATGCTCTTTTTCCTTTAAAAAAATTATTAACTGCAAAGTACTTGAGGTGTAGCTGACCTCATGGCAATTGCCTCCCCATCCATTGGTATCCRGCCCACCTTCGAGAGAACCTCAAATGCAAAGGAATATCCACTCATAGTGACTCTGTTCTTTTGATGCAGAGCCAGGTTTCCAAGAGAATTCAGGATGCACAGGGCAGAAGCATATGACTTTCTTGCTTAGGATTATAATGCTTAGCTGTATGAAAGAAAAAAATCTGTCTTCATATAAATGTTGATTACGTATTCAATAACAAAAGTCATAAAAATTGAATATGCAACATTTGGAAGTGAGTCTCTCTTCTACAAGACAATGACAGTTGCAAAGAACCAAAAATCTCTGGCTGCTCCTCTCTCACCTTTTCTAGAAAAAAGACAGACTACAAGCAGAAGGGAAAATATCTTTCTGCCTGTAAAATGATAGAACCCTGATTTACCTCCATTTTCCAAGCTACCAAAAATATGTTGAGAAAATCATCATCATCACAGCCTAAAAATCATCTCATGAAAATAAGCCACGTTACAACAATCAAAATACAGAACTCAAACCTTTCTGAGCTTCTGAATACCTTTTTTTTTTTTTTTTGATTTATACATTTAAAATGCAAAGCCAAAGGGGTGGAAGGGGGGAACACTACTGAAAATAACAAGGAAAGTTGTCACATGCACGCCAAGCTGTATTGTAAAAAGGTTATTCTGACAGCCATGTGCACAGCCCTCCGTACCCCGTGTTGTACTGAAAATCCATTTTGATGGATTAAACACCTGCAGCAAGGTAACAGGTTGTTAGAGAGGAGGCAGCTTTACTGTGTCTACCATTGGCCACAGAGGTCTGGTGTTTTTCAGAGAAATATTATCAACATTTCCTGCAGAGATGAGAGGTTAGGCTCACAAACATGAATTTTTAACATGCTCCTTACCCGCCTAAGTGTGTTCACTTGAGCATGCCACATTGCCAATACTTTTCCCACAGACATATTCAACACCCGGTGAATTCAAATGAGTTTAATACACAGTCTTTTGATTAATGGAAAATGGCAGAGAGTAAGGGACTGAAACAGTTCGTGCTTTGCTTGATTAATTAATAAGAGACTCTCTTTTCCCAGCTTCAACTCATTATGCTAATGAAATGTCATCAATTAAGGCTTTCCCCTGATTATTGAATCTGTCAGGTAGCGCTCAGTTAAAAAGCCAAATTCCTTTGCTGTCTTTGCAGCGTTGCCATCACAGCTTTTTATGAAATGCTACTCCCATTAGCCAGTGTTTGTTCTACTTTCTCATTATTGTATCATCCTGTTGACCTTGAGACAGGTGAATGTGCACTGCTCAAAATGAAACACAGACAACACTATCAGTGGGACGGTGGGTCAAGATAATGTGTTCAGGCAGAGATAAATACCATTCTTCACTCCCGCTTCCTTCATAATTATTAATAGCCTGGTCAAAGATAAACCCAGGGAGAGCATGTGACATTCAGAAACCAATGTCATGCCATACTAAGAGCATCCAGAAGATGAGCACAAATGGAGGRAAAAGGTTTTAACCCTTAAAAATACATCTTTTGCTATGAAGATGATTTCATAGATTGATGGAAATGGCTATATATACATATATCCTCCTAAATATGGGTTCTGCCAAGTAATTCACACAAAGAACGAAGAAATCCACTTTAGAAAAGCAAGTTGCAATACTTTGGGAAATTCATTTGCCGTGCATATATTCAGGACTCTCGAAAGCTTCGAGTCAGTATATGAGGACCCACATGCTGAGCTATGCAATGCTAAAGAAAACTCTGGCAAATCACTTGTGCAGACGAGAACAGAGCACTGCGCAGCTGCTTGGGATCAGCCTTTGGAGAGGGCCCTCCTTCCACTGCTACCCCAGCAGCTGCAACAGCAGAGCTCCCCTCTCCCTGCCAGCCCTGCACGTTAGCAGGGGCAGATGYGGGAAGCACAGAACTACAGCGAGGMATCACACACACGGAGCAYGGCAYGCAAGTTCCAGCCTCCTCAGGAAACTCCCATAAGATCCCCTGTTAGGAGTTATATAAAAACCAAGCTGTTGAAAGCACAGCCATCTTGTGATTTGAAACAATATTAGGATATGTTATTAGGGAAGAAGTCTTCATAGGATTTGTATAGAAGATGACTATATTGGATCATGCAGGCAAATGCTGTGGTTGATCTTCATGCAACAGACAAACTTCATTCAAATTTATTACATTTAATTTCCTCTTGATTTCAAAGGAAAAGGAGCTAGAATATGTCCTATATCTATTAGCTGTAGTATTTTGCCTTTGCTGGTTCCTGATGCATCAGCATGGAAGAATCTATTGAAGATGTAATGMTAGAAACTGAATTTCTCACCTAGTCACTGAGTTGCAAAGTCTAGATTTAATCAACTTATTCTTTTGGCTCAGAGGAAAAATAATCTAAGAAAAAAAAACTGTCCCTGTCACTCAGATGCCTTTCAGAGATAAAGCCAAAGGATATTCTTTTGAGAATTCTTTTAATGATTTTTCYGGATGAATATCTTTCTCTTAAGGACTTTCACATATCTGCTTTATATAAATAACATGCATTTAAGATAACAGCTATGTACAAAGGATACAAATATTGGTGTAAYTGTTTGTACTGCAATAGCAAAAAATAGTTTATAAAAGATTGCTTTTAGGAAGAACTAGCTGTGTTTTTTCTTTTCATATTATTCCATCTTGGTGCAATTGTACTTCTTTTACTACAAAATCATTAAAAGTGAAAATAGATATTGCTTTCACCTGCCCTTGAGGTGAAGTGGATGTTATAAAATGGGTGTTATCTGGTGTCTCACTTAATACTCTATATGGTACAAAATTACATCATCAGTTAGTATTTMTGCTGTTAAAAATAATAGTTGATATTTATTTTAAAAGGCTTAGAGATACAGACAAGAAAAAGAATAATTGCTCCTGGAAAATTATCTTGACCATTGAAGCAACCACTTACTTATAAAAYAGCTCATGGTGCTACAGAGATATGACGACAAACTAAAACTGCAGTTGCATCAATGAAGTGAGCACGTAATTGTGTTGATGTAGTTACACTATAATCACAGAATAGTTAATAGAAGGATTAAAAAGAAATGCAAAAGTTAAGTCCCAGAACGGTTTGCTTTCCCTATAGTTCTTTTAAGTTTTGCACACACACCTGTATACATACGCATAAACACACACACACACACATACAGCAAGAGCAAATTATAATTTCAATTGCATTTCTTAGATAAGGAATGACCTGAAGAAAGGTAATGGATCTGCACTGCTGTAAAAATTATGATCAGAACTATCCTCCTATGTGCAGAATGCAYGGACCTTACCCCGCTCCATTGTCGTAAATGGGTATCAAGTTACATACAAACATCAAGAATTACTGGTAATAGTAAAGAAAAAATATTAATAAAAAAGTGGGACAGAAATGTGAAAACAGGATGAAATAAGAAAAATGAGGTGAAGGGAGGCACAGAAGAAAATGGAAATGCTATCCATAGACAGCACTCAAGGCACATATCAAGCATATGTGAGCTCTCTCTCTCTATATATATATAAAACAGTGCTTAAAAATACCGCATCATCTATGCGTCCCTTACTCTTAACATCAGATTAACTTTTTAAAAATAAGACTTTATATTATTGCTTTCTGCCTAAGTCTGCAAACAACCTGAAACAATCACCCAGACAACCAAGTATCCTCAGGTCATATTTTACTCATATTCTCTCTGAAAACCTTTTAAAAATCAGAGAACAGTCCACTGTGTATAAAGAGGAATATAAAATACTATATTTATAATCCAACACAAAAATTAACTACAGATAGGCACTCTCTCCATCAGCTTAATGCTCCTAGTGGCACCTTAGGACTGAACTCAACGTCCTGAAACTGGCCCTCTAATCATGTCAGTAGCTGGATATCTTATCTCATAATTTTAAACTACCAGTTAGTGAGTGGTTTAACAGCCGAGAATCAGAGGAAAGACTTTTTGTTAACATGTTAAACACTGATAATCTTACAAAACCCTTGATGTTGTTGCTATACAGCATCTGAAATGTTATATGGCCTGCCTCCCTTTTCTCATTTTTCTACAGCAACTGCTCCCAGAGCTGTGCAGAAAATCTTTGAGTTTCTTTTGCTAAAGAACACAGGCATAATTATCTGGTTTATGCATTTAGCTCCTAACTGGCAAGGCCTGGATCAATTCATGTCTGCAATTCTGTAAGCAGCATGAATTTCCTGTCCACTTTTTTTTTTTTTTTTTTTTTTTTTTTTATTTTTTAAGCAGCATGAATTTCCTGTCCTTTTTTTTTTTTTTTTTTTTTACTTCTGCAATGGTTTGTATTAATTCATATGTACTAGGTAACTGCTCAGTTGTGGAAACTACTTCTGTCCGATTAGGTAGCCAAGACACAAGAGACATTCGGACAGCAAAGCAGGAATGAYGGAACACGGCCAACATATTCTGTGCAAGGCACGCAAGTGGACTACGAGAGGAAGGGCTAGCCCAGCACTTAGCAAGTGACATCTTCCAGCCAGACTATTGTCTGAGGGTTAGGAGAGCCTGAACAGCACTAAAGAAATTTGTTCCCTGGTTAAAGGATCACAGAATCATTAAGGTTGAAAGGATCTTTGGAGATCATCTAGTCCAATCCCCCCACACACACGCAGCATCACCTAGAGCACGTGGCATAGGGCGGCATCCAGGTGGGTTTGGAAGTTCTCCAGAGAAGGAGACTCCACAACCTCTCTGGGCAGCCTGTTCCAGGGCTCTGTCACCCGCACACRCCGCTTGTGAGAGGTTAGGGCTGGAGGCAGAGGCCAAGCAGAGGACTAGAGCGATGACTGCCAGCACCACTGCTCACATCCCAGTCATCAAGGTCACTGAGGCCAGAACCACCCCCTGCCATGGCYTCCTGCCTCCCTCCTTCACACGGCTTCGGCACAGGCCCTGCCGGCCTAGGGCCCCAAACACTTGTSTCTGTCACTAACCCCTCATGCTCCCGCAGACCCCAGCTCCCAGTCCATCATGCAGCTGGGCTCTGCGAGCCAG